GCTGTTAATATTTTGATGTTTGTTCATCTAGTCTTTTTTTTTTCCTGTGGTTTCACACAGAGGCAAGCCTGTGCTAGATATGTTATTTTTTGGCTTGCTCTTTTTCATTGAATATACTCCCAGGACATTCAGTAGATACATTTTTACCTTATTGTGTGTGTGTGTGTGTGTGTGTGTGTGTGTGTGTGTGTGTGTGGTACTGGGGTTTGAACTTCACCTTGAGCCATTCCACCAACCCCCCTTTTTTTTTGTGGTGAGTTTCTTTTGAGATAGGGTCTCGCAAACTGTTTGCTCACGCTGGCTTCAAACTGCGACCCTCCTGATCTCTGCCTCCTGAGTAGCTAGGATTACAGGTGTGAGTCACCGGCACCTGACATCTTATTCTTTACAATATCTACACAGTGTGGCATAGATGTAGCACAATTTATTTAATCAGCCTCTTATCAATGGGCATTGAATGAGTTTCTAGCTGGCTCTTGCAAATTGTGATGAACAAACCTGACTTTTTCTTACATTGTATTTGGAGAAAATAGCTAGGTGTAGTGGTACAAGCCTTTAATCCTAGCACTCAGGAAGCTGAGGCAGGATTGTGAGTTCAAGGTCATTTTGCTATGTAGTGAAATCCTATATGAAAAAAATGGACAAAATATATTACAAGCATAGATTTTTTCCCATGATTCTTACTGTCTCAAGACATTACTGTTTTGTGGAACACTGAAGTGAATCTAATACTTCAGTAGATATAGAAAGCTTACTCAGTTTAACTTATGATCCACTCTTTTTATGGTCCAAGGCCACTGGACCTTATCTTTAGTCCATCTCCTGACCCAACCTCCACACCATCACTACAGCCTCAAATATCTGAACCCCTAAAACACAATAGCTACTCTACAGGGGCCAGATTGATCTGGGGTCTTACACAGTCACTTACCTAGGCCTACCTTGTTGACTTCTAAGCTTTTGACCAAGGGAAACTGTCTTCTTCAGTGAAGCCACTGGGGACCTGCCAATTGTGGAGGAGGAGGAGTCAAGGGCCAGGAAAAACTGGTTTGAGGAAAGACTGGGAGATGTAGCTGGCAGGAATCGACAGCAGGATAAAGATGGACTTTGAAAATGTACACTTGTACCAGTGGAACAGAATAGAGGACCCAGATATGAAGCCACACAACTATAACCAACTTGTCTTTGACAAAGGTGCTAAAAATATACGATGGAGAAATAGCAGCCTCTTCAACAAAAACTGCTGGGAAAACTGGTTAGCAGTCTGCAAAAAACTGAAACTACATCCATGTATATCACCCTATACCAAGATTAACTCAAAATGGATCAAGGATCTTAATATCAGACCACAAACTCTCCTACTCAGGAAAGAGTAGGAAATACTCTGGAATTAGTAGGTATAGGTAAGAACTTTCTCAACAAAACCCCAACAGCACAGCAACTAAGAGATAGCATAGATAAATGGGACTTCATAAAGCTAAAAAGCTTCTGTTCATCAAAAGAAATGGTCTCTAAACTGAAGAGAACACCCACAGAGTGGGAGAAAATATTTGCCAGCTACACATCAGACAAAGGACTGATAACCAGAATATATAGGGAACTTAAAAAACTAAATTCTCCCAAAACTAATGAACCAATAAAGAAATGGGCAAGGGAACTAAACAGAACTTTCTCAAAAGAAGAAATTCAAATGGCCAAAAAACACATGAAAAAATGCTCACCATCTCTAGCAATAAAGGAAATGCAAATTAAAACCACACTAAGATTCCACCTCACCCCTGTTAGAATAGCCATCATTAGCAACACCACCAACAACAGGTGTTGGCGAGGATGCGGGGAAAAAGGAACCCTCTTACACTGTTGGTGGGAATGTAAACTAGTACAACCACTCTGGAAAAAAATTTGGAGGCTACTTAAAAAGCTAGACATTGATCTACCATTTGATCCAGCAATACCACTCTTGGGGATATACCCAAAAGACTGTGACACAGGTTACTCCAGAGGCACCTGCACACCCATGTTTATTGCGGCACTATTCACAATAGCCAAGTTATGGAAACAGCCAAGATGCCCCACTACTGATGAATGGATTAAGAAAATGTGGTATCTATACACAATGGAATTTTATGCAGCCATGAAGAAGAACGAAATGTTATCATTCGCTGGTAAATGGATGGAATTGGAGAACATCATTCTGAGTGAGGTTAGCCTGGCCCAAAAGACCAAAAATCGTATGTTCTCCCTCATATGTGGACATTAGATCAAGGGCAAACACAACAAGGGATTGGACTTTGAGCACATGATAAAAGCGAGAGCACACAAGGGAGGGGTGAGGATAGGTAAGACACCTAAAAAATTAGCTAGCATTTGTTGCCCTTAACGCAGAGAAACTAAAGCAGATACCTTAAAAGCAACTGAGGCCAATAGGAAAAGGGGACCAGGAACTAGAGAAAAGGTTAGATCAAAAAGAATTAACCTAGAAGGTAACACACACGCACAGGAAATCAATGTGAGTCAATGCCCTGTATAGCTATCCTTATCTCAACCAGCAAAAACCCTTGTTCCTTCCTATTATTGCTTATACTCTCTCTACAACAAAATTAGAAATAAGGGCAAAATAGTTTCTGCTGGGTATTGAGGGGGTAGGGGGGAGAGGGAAGGGGCGGAGTGGGTGGTAAGGGAGGGGGTGGGGGCAGGGGGGAGAAATGACCCAAGCCTTGTTTGCACATATGAATAATAAAAGAAAAAAAAAAGAAAATGTACACTTGTGTATTTCCTTGAAGGGCAGAGTAGTTTTAGGTTATTTTGATGCTTTTTGTTAGTGTAATTCAGGCTTTTCTAGAATAAACCCCAAAACAACAGGACCGTCATGAAGTCCATCTTGAATGGCTTACACATGACAGTGGGAGGAAAAGGATGGGTTTGGGATCCAGAAAGGATTCCCAGGCAAGAGAAGAGATGAGAAAAGATGGGCCAAATGTCTGAATCCTAGAGAGACTTCTCTACAGATTTAGAATTTCCATTAAGAACTTTTATTTGAAAACATCCTAACTCTTAGAAGAAATTACATGGTTTTCACTAAACCATTTCCTCCTAAGAATACAGCTAGACCCTATCTGCCAGTGTCCTATGCTGTCAAAGGTGACCACACAACTTGATTTTAGAGGAAATGAAGTCTGCCACTTCCAGGTCTGGCCCATAGAACCTCTTGTGACATCTTCCATGTTCTCTCTCTCCTCTCATTTGCTGCCCTAATATAGATGGTCCCACAGAGGGTTTGAGGCTCTGGAGGTGACAGAGCCTCTAGCAGGAAGGAACTTAGGTCCCTGGGTGACTGCATGGAACAGAGCCTTCTCACCAACCTGTGGGTACTGTGACAAGAGTGAGAAATAGTCTTGTGTCAGGGTCTTTTGTCACCATAGCTAGCTCACTCTGACCGATATGCTATGGAACACACAGTTCTCAGGTGACTTCTCTGCCTTCTTCCTTAAATGCTCTCCTTGCTCTGTCACCTAAACAAAAGGACCAGGGTTCTCTGACTAGAGGTCAGAGACCCCTCAGCATGGTCTCTCTCTGGAGTGCCAGACTCACCCCAGCTTCTTCAGCCCTGCCTCGCAGCAGTACAGTATGTAAATGCCTCTAAAACTCAGCTCCTCCCCCAAACATCTGCTCTTCCAACTCATCTTTCTCTGTCACTCTCAGGCCATCAGTTATACTTGTGTGTTTTCAATCCCCATTCCCCCTCAGCATTCACATCAGACAGAAAGCTGTCGCTCCTCCTCTATGCTCCCCATCCTCCTTCCCCAAGTCTCTCATGACTATCCTGGAGCCCTGTGGTGGCAGTGCCACTCTCCCTCCTTCAAACTATAGCACCTAAGATGATGTCCACATCAGTTCTTGCTTGGTCTATTGCACTAGCTGTGTTTAAAAATTAAGACATTTCAAACATCCAGAAGAGAATAGAAATAGTATTCCTAATACTGTACCAGTTGACTTTGTCAAACCATAATATTTGATGTGGTGTTTATACACAATGGAATTTATTCAGCCACAAGAAGAATGAAATTTTGTCATTCGCAGGTAAATGGATGGAACTAGAGAACATCATCTTAAGTGAAGTTACCCAGGCTCAGAAGACCAAAAATTGTACGTTCTCCCTCATATGAGGATTATAGACCTAAAACAAATGCAGTAATGTTATTGGATGTGGGTCACACGCTAAGGGGAGAACACGTACAGGAGGAATAGGGAAAGGTAGGAAACCTAAAACTTGAATGTGGTTGATGTGCTCATTGTAGAGGAGTGAATATAGTAATCTTGGACTGGCAGAGGCCGCTATGGGAAGAGGAGTAAGAAGAAGTGAAGAGGTCTGGACAAAAGATGAACCAATGTGGGTTGTAATACACAAATGCATGGACACAGCACAAGGAATTTCCCTGTACAGCTATCTTTATCGCAAACTAGCAAAATGCCGTGTTTTTCTTCAACAAAATCAGAGAACAAGAGGGCAGAACAGGTTCTGCCTGGAAGTGGTAGGGGTGGCCCAAATAATGTATACACATGTAAGTACATGTAAAAGCAATAAAATAAAAATTTTTAAAAAGGAAAGGAAATAAAGGGGGGGGACTGGGGGAAATGGTTCAATCCTAAGAAATAAAAAGCCTATCTTACCTCTCACATTGTAGTAAATGGAATTTTATGGTAAATGTAGTTCACACTAAAGGTTACATACAGAGCTACGTTTAGTTTTTTTTCATGTGCACGTTTAAATGTTTTCCCTCTGCCTCTGATATAACAGAAACCTGATATCAGCACATACCCCAAATGGTTTTAGATGCATTTTGACAGATTGCTTAATTCACACATGGAATTGTATACTTTCCTATGATTATTACCTTGGACTCTCAGAACTCAAAAGTGTTAGGTCATATCTCAACCTGTCTGTCTATGACCATGTATCTAAGTGTGTCTATGAAGATATATATTTTTAACATAAATCACTGAAGACATATTTGAAGCCCCCAGCCAGTCTGCTGGATATAAATATATCTGGGTCTTCAAATTTTTTCCTTGTCTGCTTTATTTTTACCTAAATATCAACTGAAATTGGTCTGTCCTTTTTATTGATTTGAATAAAATCTTTATACATTAAGGCTACTAAAACCAGTCATATTGTATTGTCTTGCATCCCGCACGAGTTTGTCCTAGAAACCTAACTGGGGACAATGGAGATGCAGAAAAAGACAACAGACAGAAGACCAAACATGCATAAAGCTGGGGCCAGGTAGGCTGGGCGCTCAGATGGAGACACACCAGCCCCCTCCACCTCCAGTGAGTTTATTATATACAGTGGCAACAGGAGGTGGAGAGGCAGTTCTTGGGGAAGTGGGGATGACATTGCAATTCTCGGGAACAGGAGGAACCTGTGAATACTTCTGTCTGAAGGTAAACATCTTAAGAAAAACAGCTGTACTTCATCTTGCCCACTTCTGCAGCTGAGGCTGTGCCAACTCAAGACTGCAGTTTATTTGGCATAAGTATGCTTGCTCCCTTCTGTGGCTTGGGGCTGTGCCAAACTCAAACCCGCAGTTTATTTGATACACCTGTGCTTAGGTACTCCACTCTCCACAGTATTGCAAGTGTCTAGTTATTGTCTGTGGTTCACCCTTTCATCTTGTTTCTAGTATCATCTTTGGTACCAAAATTTAATATAATCAAACATTTTGTAATTTTTACCCTTTCTGGTTTGTGCTTTTGATGTCTTACTTCAGAAATCAAAAAAATCAAATAAAAAATGCATTTTTTTGTCTAAACATTTTATTGTTTGGCTGTTCCCCTTTAGGTTTATAACACATCTGAAATTTACTTTTGTGTAAGACATAAGGTAGGAATCTAATTTTATTTTCCCCATATGGATAGATGGCTGTGTCAGCACCATTAAATATTCTATCTCCTCCTGGTTCACAAAGCCAACTCTGTCAAACATCACTCCTCTCAATTCTGTGCCTCAGCCAATTTTCCATTCCAGGATTGCACATATTATTACAACTTTATAGCAAGACTTGGTCTCTGGTAGAGTTAGGTCATCTCCTTTCCCCACAGCCTTGTGTTCCAAATTTGTCTTGGCTGTTTGTTTTGGCTTTTTTGTAGTTAGATAACAAAATATCTCAAACCTTAGTGGCTTAAGACAACCACTAAAAGACAAATTGGAGGGGTTACCTACCAAGTCATATTGTTAAAGAGCAAGGGAGACAAGGCCAATGGCCAGCCCACTTAGCAGTTGCAGGAAGACCCACAGGGATACTGCTCACACAGTGGGGAGCCCAGACATATGCAGTGGGTCTCCCAGGTCTCCAGAACACTAGTCCCTTCCCTCCTCCTCCTCAAATAACCTTCCTATGGGACCTGGATCCCAAGGGTATCTTGGTGGTTGTGGATGCCTGAGCACTGGGACAAGAGAATGGTGTCCATTCCTGAGGTCGAAGCTCTGGAAAGGGACCTCCAGGCCTTTGTTGGTAGCAGGAGCAGGGTGGGAAGGAGGAACCCAAGGCCTCTTATCTGGGGCCGCTGGTTAATTGGGAATCTCTCTTGAAATTCCCAGTGGAGTCAGCTGTACCCCTGGAAGTTTGTTTCACAAAAGGTCATGCTTCCCACCCTGTTCTAACATTCCTCTGGCTGTGGCCATAATTGCTTTGTTTTGGCCTAAGGAAACAGGGGCATGGGGTCAAGGATCTACTCTTTACTATGTGACTTTGAGAAATAACTTAACCCCTCTGTGCCCAACTTCATCTGTAAAACAGGCGAAAGTATTTATCTTATATGAATGCTTGAGCCATGAGTCCATGTAGAGGAATCTGGCATATTATAAACACTCCATATGTGCCGGTGTCCAGGAATTAATCTTTCTATCTTCATCCCTGAGCAAAGAGTCTGACAGAGGTACCCCTAGTCAGCTCCAGGAGCTCCAGTGTGAGAAAATCCTTCAGATTTCTCATCCCCCAGCATGGCCCCTGGTCTGCTGCTAGACCAGCTCAGGCATGAGACTCAAGTCAGGAAACACATGGTAAGGATGAGTGTACATAGACTCAAATGTAAACCAAGAGTAGAGGGGCTATTAAGAGTCATGGAGGACCAGTGGTCAAGTGAGGTCACAAGTCAGTATCAATGACCTCAGAGCAAGGCTGGGTCAGGGTACAGCAATCACCCAACCTCCAGCAGTCAGGTCTGGGCTGCAGAAGGAGGCAGACTTGGGCAGGCAGGGCAGGGCAGAGACCCACAAGTAAGTTGACACTCAGAACATCCCACTCCTTCCTTGTACCTGCCTCCCTCAACCTGAGTGCCTAACTTACAATTCTACATAGTCTGTGTCCCCACGAAGCCACAGATTGCAGACAAAACCACATTCTCAACACTGGGACTGCAGAAGGCAGATGGTGATAGCACAGATGTTGCAGTTGGTTAGAGGTGACAGGAACTTACCCGTCTTCCTCCTAGAGGAAGACCTCATCCTTAAGACCATACTGCCAGACCCCAATCCTCCCACTCCTCTCCTCTCCAACCCCTCCTCCCCTTTCTAGCTGATGCAGCCTGCTCAGTCTCACCCTGTGAGCAGAGCTGATGTCTCATTGTGACTCAGGGCAAGAGAGGTCCTAGTTGATAAAAACTTCCACAAACCAGCTGTCTGAGTAGGATGCAATGAGTTCCTTGTCCTCTGAGAGGTTGAAGTCAAAGTAGAGACTATGTGACACTTTAGCCACACCTCCAGCCCTGTGTAGCACCTTACTGAGGTCTGAAGGAGAGTTGTGTCCCATTGCCGGTTAGGTTCAGTGACCTTTGCAGTCACTTTGGAGAGGTGATAAATCTGCAGTTCCCAACAACTGTCTCCCTGATGGAGCACTTTGCCACCACTTGGCCTGGAGTCCCCAGAGTTCTGTGTCACCCTTTGGTAACATGCAATAAAAGAGACCCTGTGTGTAGCAAAGCCCTGTGGAATGACTTAAGTCCATCCACTCTGAGACCCAGCAGAATGGATAACAGTTTCCATGGAAGGCAGAGGAGCCCAGCTCAGTTTCAGTGGAGCAGCATGGCTGGCTATAGGGAAAGAAGCTCCTTTGCCCCATCCTGCTGGGCAAGGGCAAGTGCAAGAGCAAGAGCTTGGAAGACTCCCGAATGGTGAGTATTGCCCATGTCTCTGGCAGAGTCATAAGAATGAGTAGGAGGGAGTTAGAATCAGAAGCCACACAGAAGAGAAGCAGAGGGCAAGGAGTGGGGGACAGTCCTCTCCCAGTTGGCTTGGAAGCTCTGAGAGGCACCCACAGAGGGGTTTGCACAGTTTGCCACCATTTCACAGCCCCAGTCATTAAGGAAGCAATAGTTACAGAGGGGAACAAGTTACCCCAACCCTTGTCTAGCTGGACTGTGTCTAGAAAAACTTGTCCCAGACCCTGGAGAGGGTAGAGGACAGCAGTCCAGAAACCCACTCTGTGACCCCACAGTCACCATGGCAGTCCTCTGGGTGGATACAGACTTTCTTTTCCTTTGCTCTCCCTTCCTTTTCTCTCTTGTAGAACAGCATAGTCCCTGATAGTTGTGTAGGCCACCTTAGCTATACAAAATCAACCATTGCTGGCAGAGTAGCTCTGAACCTAGTGAGTGTTTGGTACATTTCAATGCCCAGTGAATTCAGCCTTCAATTCCTAGGCTCCCCATCTAGGGCAGCAGATGTGGAGAGTTGGCATCTGCTTCCAGTGATGCTGGCATATTCCACAGACAGGAGAGAGTCAGGTGTGGGCTTCGGGTTGGGATAGGTGTTGACGTAGATGGAGTCCTCAGGACCCACGTGGTTCAGGTGGGTGAGTGAGGCATAGCAGATGGCCCCTGTGTCCTCATCAGATATAATCTTCTGGTCAAAGTGCTGCAAAGCAAAGAAGATAGATGGGCATTGTATGGGTCACAGCTGGAGTGTTGGTACCCTCTGGGTGCCCAGAAGAATAAGAAGTAAGACGAAGTTGTGGTACTGCACAGGTCTGAGAATGAGTGGTTGTGAAATGCTGCTGTCACCATCCGTGGGCTGAGCAGGGTCAGATTTAGCTTACTCAAAATACAGAATCAGGCTCCACCCCAGATCCGTCAAGGCACAGTCTCTAGCAGTGGGGCCCAGGAAACTTTTTCAGTGCTGAGAATGGAACCCAGGGCCTTGGACATGCTAGGAAAAGTGCTCTACCACTGAGCTACATCCCCAGCCCTTGGTTTTCTGAGATAGTCTCCCTGTGTATCCCAGGCTGGCCTGGAACTCATGATCCTCCTGCCTTCACCTCCCAGTACTGGGAACATAGGCATGGGCCACCAACAAGAAACTGTTTTGTCAAGCTCTCCAAGTGATGTTTATGCACACTCAAGTTTGAGTAGCATTGAGCTAGAAGAGAACAGGGTAGGGATGTTGTTTGTAGAATTGATTCCAGCATTATAGAGAGGATTGGACAAGATGACCTTGGATCCTGCCAACCCTGTGGCTCTGTGATTCCAAGAGTCTTTAGTCAGGACAGACCTAAAGGAAACTACCCAGTGCTAAGACCCTACTGAGAGGAGCGCCAAGGGAGCTGCATTGTTTACCATATATTTGCCCCACAATGGTTGGACCAATGGCAGCCAGTCCATAGGCTGGCTTGTGACCTATGTGATGAAAAAAGCTATTTCCGGTGGGGAAGAGGGTGAAGATCAGCCAATCTCTCTCTCGTCTCTTTCTTAAATTGGGAAATCTGAAGATAGGAAGCACGTAGATAGGCACCAGTCAGCAGGGGCATGGACAGTCACGAGTGTGTCAAGGGTTACTGTAAATAGAAACTATGAGCAAGGGCAGGCTGGGAAGTAAAAAACGACAGTAACAACAAATGTACACAGGAAACTTGTGTTCTCAAGTGTCCCAGGAAGGGTCATTCCTACTCACAGTGGTCCCCTCCTTCCCGTTGGAAATACCATCATAGATGTGGTGGGACTCATTCTCACCTGTGAAACAAACAGCCATGGTTAGCAGAGGGGCCTCCCCTACCCACCTCCCATGGAGATAAGGAGGAGGGCAGAAGGGACCCTAACGGAGGACTTGATCAGGGGACAGTTCCTGCCTAGGGAGGTGCCAAGTACCCAGGATAGAATAGCATCCAGTGGCTAATTTGCATAAACCAGGTAAACTTATTATCAATTCCAGGTCACTGAGAATTCCTAATTTAACCATCAAACGGAAGTATAATCTGTCTTCTGACAAACTTACATGTAGTACTGTAGTAATGTCTTTCAAATTTTTGTACCAATAACCACAATGGGAAACACAATTTGCCCCTCAAATACACCCTCTCACACCCACGCACACACACTCACACATATAAACACCTCTCATATTCACATCTATATACTCTCACACACTCATACCTTCTCACACCCACACCTATAAACATTCTCACACACCCCCTCTCGTGCTCAACCTATGCACACCCTCTCACATGCTCCTTAAAGTGTGCAGAACATTTTGGCATTTTGCTGCTCTATTTCGTCTTATAAAAATGCTATCATGAGACTGCCACCAGTGGCTCATGCCTGTAATCCTAGCTACTCAGGAGGCAAAGATCAGGAGGATTGTGGTTCAAAACCAACCTAGGCAAATAGTCCTGAGACCCTATCATGACAAAAATGGGCTGGTGGAATGGCTTGAGGTGTAGGCCTTGAGTTCAAGTCCCAGTGCCACAAAAAAAAAATGCTAGCATGAGCTACTAAATTGGTTTTATACAATTTGAAAAATATGTATACAAAATTTTACAATCCTCTCCTCCCTTAGAATTTTTATAGCTTGAAAAACTAATATCCATGAGCTCCAATATAACTCTGGCCCACTCATACATTTTAGTCTTGTTGTCAACAGAAATGCCTTTAGGGTACATTGTTAACAAGCAGGCAGTACCTACATACTGAACTAACCAACCAACAAAGAAAAGCAAGAAAGGAAGCTGGAGTCTCCAAACTCTAGAGTTCACACGCGACTGATGCTAAAAACTTCAACTTTGATTATTAAAAAGTCTTTGAAGTGCTTTTAAGAAGAAAATTCCCCGCTTAATTCCCCTTTCATTTTTTAATTTTTAAAATATGTTGTATCAAGGGTATAGTTCAGGGGTAGAGCATGAATTTAGTGTGCCTGAGGCCCTAGGTTTAATCCCCAGCACTGCAAAAAAGAAACAAATATTGTGTATATTTAAGTTCTACACTGTGATGTTGTAAGATACATAAACTTAGTGAGATGGTTGCTATCGTAGAAGACATGAACATATCAAGCATCTCATAGCTCCCTGTGGCAAAGCAGCTCTGATTGAGCTGCTCACTTAGCAAAAGTCCAGCGCACAACACCATCATCAACCAGTCCTCATGCTGGCATTGGCTCTTTTGACTTATTCATCCTACATATTTGTTAGCCAATCTCCCCATTTCCTTCACCCACACCAAAGAAGACAAAATTTAAAGATATTAGCAACATTTTAAAAATACCATTAACCAGAAAAGTCTCTACATAAACTTGCTTTTCAACAGCCATTAGACATGAAGATGGCAACGTGTATGCTCCAAAATGGATCCTAGCACTCCTACTTCTAGACGAACGGGTGCAGAGTTGAATTGGCTTTGGATGAGCTGATCACCTGGTGGTGGACCTGCTGGGGATAACTGGTCCACCCCCAGGAGTGCTAGGCCTGCCCCCTAGAAAAAAAGGGAGGGGGCTACTTGGACAACTTCCCTCTCTGGCCTCAGTTTCCTCATTGGTAAAGTAAACGTGATAATGCCTGTGTCAAGGCTGCTTTATAAATAGCTGAGCACTGTGCAGTGGTGCACTCAGAGTCATCAACTGGGGCTTACCTTTCCTGCCTGTTCCTCGCACTTTCCTAAGGTACAGGCCCACAAGGGCAGCAAGACCCAGCAGCAGCAGGATGGCCACGGTGACACCAGCAACGATGAACTTCCACTTCCGGTTGCCAGGAGGGCTTTGGAACAAGGACCAGCCAAGTGAGGAGAGTCAGAACCCAGCCCCACCTCCTGCCAGAACACCATCCCTGTCTGACACCCACAGTCACAGTCACAACAGGCCCACACCATTCCCTGCCTCTCCTAACATCACCCCAGCTGGCTAAGCAGGACCCAGCCTTGAGCCCCAGCTCTGTCCACAAACTGCACAATCTCCAAGCCATCCCAGCTCCATAAAGCAGGGTTGCTGATGATGTCACAAGCCTTTGTTCCGTTCCCTTTTCTGACTATCGCCCCTTAACTTTTCTTCTGGTCCCTGTTAGTGTTTCACCCACCATCTTTGCTTCACCTCATCCCTTCTCCATAAGATGCATATCTAGACCTCCTGGCAAGCAGCTCTGCCAGCTGATAAGGGAATTCAGTCAAAAGAAGGACACAAACATGGGCACCTTGTGCCCGTAGCAGGCCTTTAGGGAAGGTGTTTAGGTGTCAGGGTCAGAAGGGAAAGGAAATGCTTCCAGTGACATCTCTCAGCTCAGCTCCTGGGCCAATCTGGTTTCTGGTTTAATCTCGTGACATGCAATGGTGTGTAAAAGCCCAGGGCTCATGGTGTGCAAGGGAGGTGGATGGAGAGAGCAAAGGGAGGGTAAAGGTTAAGTGCCTGTGGCCCAGAGGCCATCAGGCAGGGGAATAAAGAAATCAGGCTGCCAGGTTTGGGGGGCATGGCTCAAGTGATAGAGTGGCCTGGCTAGCAAGTGTGAGGCCCTGAGTTCAAACCCCAGTACCTCCAGAAGGGAGGGAGGAAGGAAGGAAGGAAAGGTGAGAGGGAGAGAGAATAAAAGAGGAAAGAAGGAAGGGAGGGAGGGAAGGAGGAAGAGAGAGAAAAAAGAGAAAAGAAAAAAAGAAGGGAGGGAGGGAGAAATAAATAAATTCAGCCTGCAGATTTTGTAACAGGCCCCACTCTGGGACGGTTCCCCTGTGCTCGCTGAAGGGTGGAGAGGGCCGGAGAGGAGGAGAAGCAGGGGTACATCTACTCTCATTTAATCCTCACAACAGCCTGGAAAATGTGGTTCTAAGCTGGGGGTAGCCGTGTCCCCAAAGCACAACTGGCAATAGCTGGAGACATTTTTGACAGCCACATCGGTGTGTTCCAGAAGAGGTCATACTACTAGCACTTAAAGAGTAAAGGCTGAAGGTGCTGCTAAACATCTTACGACATACAGAATTATAAACCTTGGTATATGATGGGAGTGTTGTTGATTCCATTTTGCAAATGAGAAAACTGAGGCCCAAGGTAGAGTGACCTGAGCTGACCTCTGACCCCCTTTCTATGCCCTAAAAGCTGAGTGTCTATCATAGTGGTAGCCAGGGACATCTGGCACAGGCAGCAGAGGGTAGAAGGTAGTGGAGGGCTAGGAGGTCAGGGGAAGGGGTTAACGGTACCTGTCAGGGACAGGGCTGGTGGCAGAGAATGGGGCTATTGTCATCCTGGTTCTCCTGGTGGTGAGTGGGGTCGAAGCTGTTCAAGAGATGACAGTGAGAGGAGAGCCCATCTGTTCACCCCGCAATCCAGGACTCCCATTCCCACCCCAGCCCTGGGGAAGAGGAGCTCATGAGTGACCCCGGACACCTGCTTCTGCCCTGCATAGAATGTAGGCACTATGCTAAGTGGTACTGATGTCCCTCACGGGACATGCTACCATGCAGGTGGCTTTAGACCAGTTTTTAAAATGTCACTTGGATATATTCTAGAGTCTCTTCTGTTCTATTTTTGAACAATTGTGCACTTTCACTGTCTGCTCGCCATGCCCCTTTTTCCTCCCTTGGATAAATCCCTGCTTATCCGACAAGGCACAGGTGGGGTCATTTGCTCTGTGGAGTCCTCCAGGGGTGGGGGATGCAACCCTAGCCTTCTCCAGTGACCTGACTTCTCCCTTCACTAAGCCTCTGTCCAACAAGCTTCTATTGGGCCACCTACCACCCTGAGCCCTAGTCTTATATGCACACACCCATCTTTCTGGCTGGACTAAGGGCTCTTCCAACACAGAGGAGGGTCTCCAAGCACACACTAGACAAGATGGCTGGGCAGGCTTTGCACCAGAGAAGGGGCAGGGAGGTGCCACTCAAGCTCTGATGGTCACAGAACAATACAAGGAGTTTGTACCACTATGGCTTTCAGAACAAATAGCCAGGGACATCAGGATTAGTGGCAGTCCCAAAGTTGCCGGTCCAAAACTTAAAGGCTCTCACTTAGAGCCTAGGCCCCTGAACCCTAGGCTGCCACACCTCCCAGCTCTGCCTCCCTGCCTAGCTGTCTACTATCTATCCACGTTTCTTGACATCCTCCCCACTGCCAGTTACATTATGGTCCTCTGTGATGGACTCCACAACCCTTTGAGAGAAAGTTGGTATTAGGGTCAAGGATAAAGAAGTCCAGGCATAGTTTTGAGGTCCTTTCAAATAAATAGAGGAGTCCTATTAGTAGTAGCAAAAAAATGTTAAGAGAAACATGAGATGAGGAAGGAAGAAGCAACAGGAAGCCAGCAGGCCTGAATTCGAATGCTGGTTCTGCCCTTAATCAACAGTGACCTTGACACTATTCACAATAGCCAAGTTATGGAAACAGCCAAGATGCTCCAGCACTGACGAATGGATTAAGAAAATGTGGTATCTGTACACAATGGAATTTTATGCAGCCATGAAGAAGAACGAAATGTTATCATTCGCTGGTAAATGGATGGAATTGGAGAACATCATTCTGAGTGAGGTTAGCCTGGCTCAAAAGACCAAAAATCGTATGTTCTCCCTCATATGTGGACATTAGATCAAGGGCAAACACAACAAGGGGATTGGACTATGAGCACATGATAAAAGCGAGAGCACATAAGGGAGGGGTGAGGATAGGTAAGACACCTAAAAAACTAGCTAGCATTTGTTGCCCTTAATGCAGAGAAACTAAAGCAGATACCTTAAAGCAACTGAGGCCAATAGGAAAAGGGGAACAGGAACTACAGAAAAGGTTAGACCAAAAAGAATTAACCTAGAAGGTAACACCCACGCACAGGAAATCAATGTGAGTCAATGCCCTGTATAGCTATCCTTATCTCAACCAGCAAAAACCCTTGTTCCTTCCTATTATTGCTTATACTCTCTCTACAACAAAATTAGAAATAAGGGCAAAATAGTTTCTGCTGGGTATTGAGGCGGGGGGAGAGGGAAGGGGGGAAGTGGGTGGTAAGGGAGGGGGTGGGGGCAGGGGGGAGAAATGAACCAAGCCTTGTATGCACATATGAATAATAAAAGAAAAATGAAAAAAAAAACAGTGACCTTGAACAAGAGGCTTTTCTTCTTGGCTTCCCAGTTTCAGCGATGAGAGGAAGTGATTTCTTCAATAGCACTTGCACCTTGTGATTCAGGAAGGCTGACACACCCACATATAAGAAGTAGGGACACTCTCAAGCAAGAGCCCTTGAGTTCAATCCCCATTACCACATCACACAAAAACATAAATAAGGAAAAAGGAAGAGGAGGAAAAACTCACCTTTAGACACCACAAGATGGATGGTTCTGAGAATGGAAGGAAAGGTCAGAGAATACTCAGAGACTAGGCAGTGATAGAATCCCGAGTCCTTCACCCTGAGCTCAGTCATGGTGACTTTGAAGTAGCTAGATGCAGGATGGTTCTGGATGGAGTATCGCAGCCCCCCAGGCATTGTGTTGGAACTGTCCACTAAGATGGTACAAGAAGAGTGTGCCATTCTCCGACACCAAATTTTCAGCTTTGAGTGTTGAGAAGGTTTGTACTGGCATGTCACAGAGATGGTTGTGCCCTCCAGTGCTTGAAGCAACTCTGTATCTTGTGCCCAGGAGCCTGAAAATACACCGTCAATTCAGAGCGCTCCCCCAGTTGCCCTGAAAGGGCTAAGAGATGGGGGTCCCCCCCTCAGAAAACAACCCTCTTTGTGAATATACTCTAGAGCCACCCTCTGGCTGCAATACCCCCGTTTCCTGCCCTCGCCTTTGTGCTCCCCTCATCTCACCTCTCCATACACCCTTTCTTCCCCCCAACTCCTACCCCATGCGCTTCCCTAAGCCCCCCTCCTCTCCCCTACCTGAGGCCAGGAGCACCAGCAGGATGGGAGATAGCAAGCTTGAGGCCTCCCAGGCCATGGGTCCTCTTCTTGAGCTGGGCTAGTGGGAGGACCTAAGAGGTCAGGGACACCCCAAAGACAGGTGCCCAAATGTAGTGAGATTCAGTCCAGTCCCTCCCTCCCCAGCCTGTGCAGGACAAATTACTGAGATCACATAGGCAAAGGCCTATGTGAGAAGCCTAGAGAGGAAGGAGAGGTCTTGGCCTATGTGCACCCTCCAGCTGCTGGCTCTGCAACTGGTCCTGGAAAGGCCTCAGCCCTGGGACTGGATTGAGGTTTCAGGGGACTCTGAAGCCTCCTCAAGACGCAGCCTCTTATCCTTGTCAAGCCACCTCCCTCCCACGGGGTTGGGAGTGAAGAAACAGAGGAAACCATGGTGAAATAAGCACTTAATCCTCCCACTTCCTCTTCAGCCTCAAATTTCTCCTCCCCACACAAGTAAAGCACTAGCTGGAGGATGGAACAGAGTTAGGAGCCTTTGGAGGTCTGACCAGAACCCTTAGCCCCAGCGGTGTGAGGCTTCGCCTGGGAACAACTAGGAAGTTCCCTGTGGACCCCAGGAGAAGAGGAGAAAGGAGATGCACATTCATTTTCAGGAATGGAGTCCTTGCAGGAGTGGGAGAGAGCAAAGCTGAAAGGGGAGTGAAGGAAAGGTACAGATGGAGGGAAAAGTCAAGGAGAGGGGGGAGGGGAGCCTTAGCCCCCACAGCATCCCATACTCCCAACTGCCTGCCCTCCTAAGCATCCTAAATTCTGTGCTCCTCAGCACATTTTAGGAATAGCTGGCATTAGATGAGCTATGGAGGACCAGTTGCCACAGGCTGCTCATTGTTACTAGATAAACAATAAAGAAGAAGGAAAATCCTGTAACAATGCAATGCAGTATGGCAGTCTGGTACAGATTAGCATAGGAGGTGCAAGGGCCCTGGGGAAGAGAAGAGCAGGACAGGACCTCAGGAGAGGTGGACCACAATGGAGGCCACAAAGAAGCCCAGGTTGCCACTTGAGAAGGTCTGGATGTAGGATAAGACTTTAACACTTGCCATAATTGGCCAAGAATCCCCACATTGCTTGGCAATTGATGCAAGCTTTCTCTCACTCCTGTTACTACTACTGAACCTAACTGAACCTAACTGGACCTAACTGGGGGTGAGGAGAGATGCAGAAAGTACACAGGTTAGACAGACAGAAAGTTGAGGCCAGGTGTGTTGGGTGCTTGGGTGGAAATATACAACAGCCTCGTTGCTTCTTATCTCTATTAATCTCTTTCTTTACTCTGCTTCTTTTCTCTATCTTTATTCTTTAAGGCCTCACTCCTTTACAATTCTTTAAAACCTTGCTTCTAAAAGTCTTCTTGTCTATTCTTTAAAGTCTCTTTCCTTAGACTTGCTCTGTCCCATGCTGTCTCTTAGCTGTTCTTTAGCATAATCTCTCTTAAGGTCTTTGCCCCCAGACTTGCACTGGCCCCTGTTCTCTTTAGCTTTAGCAATTCCCCTTCAGCAATCCTTTTCCCTCCAGCAATTCTCCCTTCAGCAATTCATTTTCCTCCTTCAGCAATCTCCCTCCAACAATTTCTCTTCAGCCAAAAAAACTCCCCATCAAAAAGCCTCCCCCATCCAAAAGCCTCATGTCTCCTTCAGCGAGTCTTTTATACCCAGTGGTAAACAAGGAGGTGGAGCAGCAGTTCTCAGGAAGAGGCATGACATTGTAACAGGAGAAACCTGCGTTCCTGCTTCTAAATAACTTAGGAAAAGCAGCTGAGCTGCATCTTGCCTTCTCGCTCTCTTCTGCGGCTGTGGCTGTGCCAAATCTCAGTCTACAGATTATTTGACATAAATATCTTAGGAAAAGCAGCTGCTCTGCATCTTATGTCCCCATAGGCTTCTACTCCACTCTCCACAGTAAGTCTGTTGGGAAGCAGGGTAACCTGGAGGTGATTTGGCCTTGACAAGATGTCGTCTGCTGCTGAGGCAGCCCAAAGGGAAAGACCAAGCAGACTTCTGCCTCTCTTCCCCTAGCACAGGCAGGCAGACCATCAGTGCTGAAGTCAGGGCTGGCAGCATCCACTCCCTACCTGTGAGTAGAGTGACCAGCATATTCTGTAGCCATTCAGAACTGTAAACCTGAACTTGTTTGCTGGGCTCCATGGAGACAGTTTGTGTGACCGTGTGTGTGTTCTCTTCTCTAGGACCCTTGCACCTCTGTGTTACTTTACACTACTGGGTTATGACCCTAAGCCTGACAACAGGGTGTCCTATCTCCACAGCCTGTAGCTCAGGAAGCATGGTTGTCTCCCACCAATGTGAGCACCATCTCTGGTTTGTCTGAAACCCTGCCAGCCCTACCCCTCCCTACCCTGAGCCTATGGAGACCTGTGTCTCCCAGAGCTCCAGAGAATAGGAAGGAGGATGCCAGGGTTTTGAGGAAAGTGTCCCAGAGGCCACCCAGGCCCACAGGAGTGGGTGAGGTGGGAAATGGGAGTCTGTAGGTCCTTCTCAGTACACCACGTCCTTACTCAGAGTTCCCATAGGGGCAGGCTTCTAGTGTGAGCAGCTTGCATGGGTTCACTTGGTTCCAGGAACCTCCTCATCTGTTCAAACAGGGATGGTTGGTAACTGTCACACAACCCTGCATAACCTCAGGCCATAGTCGAAGGCTCTGCCTGCAAGCAGCACCTACCAGCTGGTATCTGCCCCTGACCTCTTCCACAGACCCTTCCAGTGGAGCCTTCCCAGGGCTCCCCACTGCAACACCCACACTCCCAGGACCTCTTCCAGGCATCACTCACCTCTTAACTTTAGCTTGTACTTCAAGCCTCAGTTGGCCTCACCTCTTCCATTGAAGCCTACCAGTCTGGCCCAAGCCTAGAGGAACCCCAGTGCTCCCATCTATGAAGGACTCCGACATGCCCTGTCTCCTACATGTGGCACCTGTGAGAGAGCCTGGGTGAAACCCAACCACACCATGCCTTCGCTTCCCTTGGAGCTGTGAGCTGACTGAGGCCAGGGCTAGCTGCTGTCCCTTATCTGTGTGCTCTGCCTCCCCCAAAGCTGAGTTGTGCACATGAAGCTGATCTGCACATGCCCTTGACCTAACAAGTGACACAGAGGAGCTTCAGAGTCTTCCCCATCCTCCTTTCCAAATAAAGAAATAGGATTAGAGAACAGTGACTTGCTGAGGTCACACTGAGATGAGGGGCTGTTATGGTTTGAATATAAAATGTCCCCCAAAGGCTCACAGTAGAACACCTGGTCCCCAGTTGGTAGCGCTATTTTGGGAGGTTCTGGAAACTTTAGGAGGTGAGGCCTCGGGGGAGGAAGTAGGTCACTGAGGTCATGCCTTGAAGGTTATACCTGGTCCAGAGCCCCTTCCTCCCCTTCCTCCATCTCTACTTCCCGTCTGCCTTTCCTCCTCCACACACCTCTGCTGCTGTGTTCTGCATCACCCACTACGGGCTCAAAATCATCAGAGCAAAGACTAAGGACTGAATCTTCACTCCTCACAAGAGGGTGTTTCCAAAGGGGCCACCGTCACAAGCTCCCCTCACTCATGTGATGAGGACACTTGGGAGGAGAAAGGATAAAACACAGAAACTGCATCCTCAGGTCTTGAAAACAGAATGTGAGAGCAACAGAAGTGGAAAGGAAGTGAGGAGCAGTAATGAAGAGGCCTCAGCACAATTTCAGTATTTGTGGCACTTCATTATATCCCCAAAACAATCTTGAGGGGTAGGAATTATTGTCCTTTTCCATAAGAGAGGAAAAATGAGGCCCAGCTAGGGTTAGTGGCTTGCTCAGGGTCACACAGTGACAGTAGCATCACTGATGTCTGTCCTTGACTGCTTCTTCAGTGCTCTTCTCCCAGGGCACCCTACCGACATGAGATGGAGCTGTCTGGCTGTGCTGGTGCTGGGTCACAAATGGAAGTGGGGTCTTGAGGAGCAAATCCCCCAGGCCAGTTAAGCCTCACCACCAGGATGGTGGCTCTAAGTAGGTTGCTTGCTGGCCAAAAATGTGTGTCCTGGAACCAGATCTGTGAGGGGTCAACTTGAGTTTTCTCTCCACTGCCCCCTCCTGGAAGTAGGAAGAGGTGCTTCACTGCTGTCCCAGGTTGACAGCTAGCTGGCTGGGGTAGGGGGGCCCGGAGCTCCCTCTTTCCCCACAAACATCCTGGAGTGGCTCTCACTGCCTTCCCACCCCAGTTGTGTCACTCTTCTGACCATGATGTTTGTTTTCCCACCAAGAGTTCTCCAACCCAGAGCCAAGAGTGGATATATCATGCATGTATCTGCAGCAGCTGTCCCAATCATTGCAGGCTTGTGGACACCCCTCTCTGGGAAGGGATTCAACTTGCAGCACCCTTCCCTGATGGGTTCCAGGCCAATGGTCTGGATAGCAGAGGCCACATCTGCGCTACAAGTGGAAAGGTAAGAGGCAGGCTCCACAGGCCATTCAACCCCTGGCCAGAGACTGCCTGGGCCCCATTATCCCTGCCCCCATCAGGGTCACTTCTCCATGATGTGGACAGATCCAAAGTGCCTTCGCTGAGAACTAGTCTTTCTCCAAGCCCTGGCTTCCCCAACAGCATCTGTGGGTGAGTTCCCTCTAGACAGAGATGGGTGTCAGGCACCTCAGGGTGTGGACCCTGCTGGAAGCTGCTGGGCCCTCAGTCCCTTCCAGAAGCTCAGACTTGGAGACCACATGTAGAAACTGGTGTAACTGAGGGTGAGAGCTTTGACCTGCAGCCAAAGGCCCTCAGCTTACCCAAGAAGGGCCAGCCAGTAGGTGGCAGTGGTGGGAGTGTGGACTCTATGAGCTTCCAGTACCAAAGGACACCAGCAGCTGCAGTTAGGGCTCATCCAGAGCTCCCTGCACGCCCATCAGAGGATGCATGGCCAGACAGGGAAGCCTTGGACAGCTCTGGGATCTCTTGCTGCAGACCTTTCTGTGGCCCCAGCTCTTAGTCACTGTCTAAGCTCTTCCTTTTTGGGAATATCAGCTACTGGGGCTCATCATCCACAGGCATACTGGGAGGTTTGAAGGGAGCAAAGCGAAACTGAGGACACAGTAGCCCTGGCTGTGGAGAGAGAGAAGCTCTAGCTGTGTCCCCTCCCCTTGGGCCTGACCCTGGTCTTCAATCTTCTTCTGGCCTCCTGGGTTCCACCAGGAGAAGCTTCCCACTCCATTGTTAAGTGATCTCAAACCAAGCAGGCTTCCAGGGGGACTCTTGTGCTCCAGGTGGGTGCTTCCAGGGTCTCATAGAATTGCTGCTTAGGTTATAGCCTACAAGAAACAGAGAAAAGTGTTCACAGTGCCACCCTTCCCCTCTTCTGGCTCTGCTTTGCTCCTGCCAAGTCATCCCTGTAGGGTTATGAATTGCTGTTCCTGCCTGGCCACCCTCCTCCTCACTGGGTGCCTCCTGGTCCTCTCGGATGGACACAGGTTGAGGAACACCACCCTGGTGTTCCTGGAGTGGGGGAAAACATAGTATCATAGCCCTTATTACAGGTACCCAGAGCTCAGCCCTTGGAGGCAAGAGAGGGCTCTACTCACTTCCCATGTGTCTCTTCTTCCAAAACCTATAGAGCACAACCAACATCACAGGCACTGGGAGGAAGATAAGCACCACCACAAGCACAGTGAGGTAAGGCTCCTGGGACCTGAGGAGGTGGAGCAGAGAGGATGGAGGTGAGCACCAGGCTCCCCATTACTGACCATGTCTTCCTGCTCACAGTACAAGGAGCTGGACCAGGCAGAAAGTCTGACAGCACTTCCTCTATCATGCCCCCAAATCCATTCATCAGTGAGGTCAAGGGCACTAAAAGACTCCCATTTGTGCTGGAAGAGATCACTGTTTCTTCAGTGACTAAGGACACATCTTACCCTCTTTGTCCCCTGTAGCAGAGGCTGCGGATGGCCACTGCTCCCCCTTGTCTGTGGCACTTCCAAGCACACAGGTTATCAGCACCTTCTGAGGACTTTTCCTTCTCGCTAGCACGCTCTATACCACTCATAGCAGGCACTCTCTACTGATAGTGAACAGGAACTTGGTGTCCTGGCCCCCTTCCCCTTCAGTGAGAGGCTGACACCATTCAGAGTTGTCCAGCACAGTGGTAGCTGGCTTAATTATGATTCATTAGCCACTCTCCCTTCCCTGTCCTACTTCCTTGCCCTCTTTTCTAGTGCCCCAATTAAGATGCCAATCCTTGTCTCAGAGCCTGCTTCTGGGGCAACCTAAACTACCAATGTGTCCCCCCACACTTTCTACTTCCTACTGTCTTTCCCTGTCCTTCCCCTCTCCTGTCCATCCAGACACTTTGCAGACCTAGCCCTGTCCCTCACCCCCACCATCTTCCTTTATGACCCTTACTGTCTCCCACCTCCCATTCAGTAGAGTTTCTGGGGAGGAAAGGGGAAGGGAGGATACCAGAGCTTCTCCTTGAGATCCATCAGGCCCTAATGTCATTCAACAGTACCTGAGGGAGGGTAACTGGTTGTGGCATGTCCCGATGGTGGGGATGTTGCTGTTAACATGCCTGGACTTGCTGGAGGTAGACACTGGGTCAGCAGTGGAGGCTCTGGTATTGCTGGAAGACACAGTCACTGACTGTGGCCCTGTGGTCCTTCTATGCCCTGCAGTGGTGGCACTGGTACCCATGAAGCTGTTGCCTGTCACAGAGGTTGGCCTGGTGGTCCCTGAGGCAGCAGGGGACAAGAGTCTGGTCAAGGTGAGGAATCCACTTGTGAACACAGTCATGCCAGAGGTGAAAGGGGCATCAGGGCCTGAGGTGGGCTCTTGGCCCATTGTGACAATTCCATTCTTGAGGATGTTGGCTGAACGTGTAAGAGGATCATTCCTCTCAGTCGTGGGTGCTGAGGAAACAGAGAGAGAGGAGGTTAGGGTAAGTCAGGGGTCTTGGTGTTGGAGGCAGCTTATACAGCTGTGTGGATGCTGGGGTTGGAGGGCTGACCCTGTGGCCAGATGGTCAGGTGTGTATTTGCTGAGAAGGTAATGTCAGGGGGAAAGAAGCAGAAACAGTAAAGAAGGGAGAGACGGTCACAATCCCTTTAGCCTCCCCTGTCAGGCTACCTGTTCCCAGAGGACAACCCATCTCCACGCCCATATCTTTTGTCACTTCTTTGGTCCTTCTTATTCCTAAGCATCAGTGAGCATTCCATAATACAATATTGAATAAGGACTATTCTGAATGCCCCATAATTGGTGACTGCCTCTAATTCCAGAGAAAGTTGTGAACAGTTGGAGTCAGACACCTTCCTTAGGAGTTTACTTAGACACATATGGACCTGTCCTGTTTACCCAGGCCTCTACCACTCCATTTTCCAGAAGAAGCCTGGAGTTTAGTCGGTGGGTGAGGAGGGAGTTGTAGGCTGTGAGAGGCCTCAGTCTAGTGGGGAGTGTTGAGTCTGTCTCAATAAGAGCAAGACAGCTGGAGAGAGGCTCCTGCACCCTCTGCTGTGCACTGGAAGGATGCTTTCCTGGGAAGCCAGGGGTCTCTGGTGGGGACAGAGTGACTGGGCCTGTGCCATTGTTCTGAGAAAGAGGAGCCAGAACAAGCAGCATTGGTGGGGTGGAGGAAGAGGGCAACCTGGAGCCAGGTCCCACATGGCAGTACAGTCCCCAGTGAGGATACTCCCAATGAACCCTCCAAAGAACTCACACTTTGATGCCTTTGGTGAGCCAGCATTGAGATGCCCACCTTGGAGAGATTCTCAAAGATTTAACGGGAAAGCACTGATGGCCAACAGAGAGCCCACAGCAGCAGCTAAGTCACACAACCATTTCTCTCGCCCCCATTCTTGCTTCAACACACCAAGGTATGTGGGAAGTAGAGGCCTGGCAGAGAGTGGCCAAGAAAAACCTAACTCCCAAGAAGAAGGAGCCAGGTAGCAGGCTGCCCCCATCCCCAATTCAGGTACCTCGGATCATAAAACCTGGTCTTTGGGGTGGAATGGGAAAGTGCATGTTGCTGGAAAATCAGAGTTTGTGATTGGGCTGAAGAATTTTTTCCTAATAATTGAAGACATCATTACAATTGGAATTTCCCCAAATTATCTTTCAGAGGTGGAAAGTAAGATTTGACATAGGATGATTGGGAGTAAGGATAAGAGAAAATAAAATTGTTTCATGATTGTATTTCTACAAATAAAGATGTTAATGAGCCAGTTTCAACTGAGAATGGAAAGCAGAGGAATGAGGTTTGGTGCCATGTTAGAGAGAACATTTTCCCTAGTTTAGTCTCAATGGAAGATGGGGGTGTAGGGAAGTGTGGGTGGTAAATTTCACAACAATTGGTCACTTTTTCCTGGTCCTTCTGATGGCTCCTCAACCTTTCTTATAAACAGAGAGGATCTCCTGGCTCAGTTCTTTTTCTATGCACAGGAAGGACATTTATATTCCCTTGATTTGTTTTAAACAGCTAAACTGAAATATAAATCACACTCCATACCATACACTCATTTATAATAAAAAATTTGATAGTTTATGGCACATTCACAAAGTAGTGCAGCCATCCCTACAGTCAATTTTAGGACATTTTCATCATCTTAGAAAGGAACCCCTTACTCTGTAGCTCTCACCTCAGCCCCCTTGCCTTCCCCAGCCCTAGGCAGCCACTCACCTGCCTCTTCTCTAAAGACTTCTCTAATGCCTTTGACGTTAAACACTGTCTTATAGAGATACTTTCAAATATACCCCCAAGCTCTAGCCTGTCACTTGAGCCCCTGGCTGAGACATCATGAGTAAGCAATGCCTGCTTCATTTCTCCACTTGGGGTTCTAGAAGATACCTTAACATGACAAAATAGAGCTCTGATTTTCCTTCCCCAAACTAACTTCTCCTTCAGAATAAAGGGTACTGTCCAATAAATGGTACCATCTTCCACTGAATGATGAAATGGAAAACCTTGGGGTCATTCTTCCCTTTTTGCTCAAGTCCCACTTGAACAAATCCTGGCCTGCCCCCAAAACATACAGAATGGGCAGAAAGTCGAAAAAACAAGATTTGATCCCATCTACTTCTCTCACTTCCAGTGCCCATATCCCACTCCAGGCCACTGGCATTTTCAGCCAGTGACATTCCCCTTCATCTCTCTGCTCCTTCCACCCCTGCCCCATAAACAGCCATTATCATCTTAAAAACAAGCCATGACACACCTCTCCAGGCTTCCTCAGTAGCTTCCTTTAGTACTTAGAATAAAACCAAAACTCCATAACATGGGATTCAGGGCTGCTTGACTCTCCAACCTAGGACTGATCAAAACCAGCAAATTATGAATTTACTGACCACCCTTCCTTGTTCTCCTATCCCACACTCAGTATGGACAAGCCAGACAGGCCTTCCATCTACAGGCCTAGCTCCTTCTCACCTCAGGGCCTTTGCTTATGATGCTCCACCCCACAGAATGCCCTTCCAAGCACCCAGTTTTCAACAGGCTAGAGAACTGTCATCATTCTTGGTTCTGCTAGGTGTCATCTTCTCAGGGAAGTGTCCTCTGATGCTTGGTACATCAGTAACTACCGCTTCGTTGACTGCTTTCTAGTTTGCCACACTGTTTTCTTAAGGACATGTCTTGTTATCTGCAATGATTTGCCTGGTGATGCGTTACTGCCTCGTGTCTCCCATAGGGCAGGGTTGTGGCTGGTTTTACCCATCATTGTATTTTATTCCCAGAGCCTTCAGTAGTGCCTGTCACATCCTAGGAGCTCAATGAACATATGCTGAACAGATGACTGGATACAACAGAGTTCTGAGTTCAAGTCTCATCTCTATCACCTGCTAGAACTGTGCCCTAGAGCAAGGTCAGAGCCACAGAGCTTTTTAGATCTCATTTTCTTCATCCATAAAACAATTCTAAAAATGCCCACAGCGACTGATTGTTACCGTTCTGATGTTAGAGTGCAGGGCAGGAAGGACATGCCCGCCCATTTCAGCGCCCTGCAGGCCAGCTCACCTGGAGACACTTCCAGAAGGAAACCCATCAGGGGGTAGAGGATCCCAGACGTGTTGCGCATGCACCAGTATCGGCCTGAGTCCTGGCGCTTCAGGGTTTCCATGGTGATGCGAACCACCTTGGCCTGGGTATCATCCTGCAGCAAGTAGCGGGGCCCATTCACCCAGCCGCGGGCAAACCCAGGGTCACACTTCCTCTTCCTGACCTTGCACCAGGCCTTGCCCTCCACGCGGTTTCTGCGAAACTTGTAGGAGCACTGCACAGACATAGTGTCCCCTTCACGGTGCTGCACTTTTTTGTACACGCTCTCAACAGAAGAACCTGGGAAGATAGGATGTGCTGAGCAAGGTCTGGCAAGAGAGGAAGAAGGCTTCTTGAAACTCAGGGGAGGTGAAAACTGACCTGCTGCCTGGCAGCTCACACTTTGAGGGGGACACACAGCCCTACCTTCAGGGCGCTCCTCCCAGTGTGACTGAGAGACACCTAGCTCCCAGTCTGATGGGGGAGAAAGCTATGCCCCTCAGGGGTTCCTACCCTAACGAAGGAAACACAGTCCTGACACTGGGATCTCCACCAGAACACTTCCTGTCCTCATGGTATGTTTTGGTCTTCAGAGATTCCAGTCTTGTGGGAAAGACCCCCGTCCCGCTCTCAGTGAGAAAGATGTACAGACACAAACACAGGTCATTAGGTTTTGGAATTTCAGAGCACAACCAACTTAGGAAGATAAGAAAGTGCACTATTTGAAAAAATGATGAGTAATTATTTTCAAAGTAGGCTCATTGTTGTTATTTTTTAAGGTGCTGAGGCTCGAACTCAGGGCCTCAAGCATGCTAGGCAAGTGATCTACCACTGGGCCACATCCTCAGTCCCCTACTGTACTCATCTTTTTTTTAATTTACTTTTTTCGGTGGTACTGAGGTTTGAAGTCAGGATCTTGTGCTTGCTTGGCAGATACTCTACCACTTGAGCCACCTCCCCCACTCTGTACTCATCTTTTAAATAGCAAGCTGCCTTAGTTCATTCTACATGATATCTAATTTTAAAATATTCTAGTTATATAAAACTAATAGATTAAGCATGCCCAGACACATATGAACTCAGCTGAAGAGTGAACCAAAGGATTCTTCAATTATTCACTGATTATTTATAATATCTATACTCAGTGTTTAGGAATGAGATGTGGTCTATGAACCCGGCATGGTGTCATACACCTGTAATCCCAGCAGTTGGGAGGCTGAGGCAGAAGATTGAGAGTTCAAGGCCATCCTGAGCTACATAACTGGTCACGGTAGGCTACAATATAGCAAAACTCTGTTTCAAAAAAAAGAGATGTGGTTTGTGTCTTCATAATCTATGTTATGGTGGCAGAGTGACTCAGGGGACAAAGGGTGGGAGAAAGCTGTGGTTAAGAGCTCAGAACCCCAGGCATCTGTCCCAGTTTGCAGCCCAGCTGTCACTGTGGTTAAGGCTGTGAGTAAGAAAACTCTCTCTAAGCACTTCCCTTCCCTTGCAAACTAAACAGAAGGATCCAAGTCAGTTCTGCAATGGGTCAGCCCAGGAGACACACCCTTCTCTCTGTGGAGGTATAGAGGTGTAGAAGCCAGGTGACACATAGGAAGGCTTTCAGGGGAACTGTGTTCATTTGTTCCTGTACCTTCCCCTCCTGCCCCTCTCACAGGCAGTGAGGAGTGGGCTTGCCACCCTTCGCCTGGCCCAAAATGGAACAGGAAGTGGTAAGTGGTTGCCTTAGCAGTGAGGAAGGCAAGAATGGGTGAGGAGCCTTCCTAGCCTGGGGTTGGGAAAGGCCTTTGAGGATTGGTCCCCTTCAAGGCAGGGGGCAGGGACCGGATGTGGCATGAGCATTTTGAGAAGAATTGAGTTCAAAGCACACACACATGATGGAATGACTCGTGCCAGATCCAGTCAGGACTTTCCTGCCAGGGTCTACCTGATGGGCTACTGGAAGAAGGTCATTTTTATGAGGACATGGAAGGTCCCTGGTTCTGGGCACTGAGGAAGTCTAGCAGATAAAGACGCTAAGGCAGAGAAGGTCCAGAGCTTCACCCCAGTTTGTGAGGCCTGGCTTAGCTCTACTTGGAGCCAGATATTAGGATGGAATTTGGCCACCAGTCTATGGTAAGGTCCTACTCAGTTAGCCCAACCTCCTCCTTCCCGAGCCTACAAAACATTAAATAAGATAGTTGGCCAAGGAAAAGCAGAGAAGGAGAGGACAGGAAAAGATGGTCACTCCCTCCCTCAAGTCAGCCCCCTTCTCCTCTCACCTGAGATGCAATTCTGTAGCCACAGCAGCAGCAGCAGCAGGAACAGAGGCTCCATCCAGATGGGGCAGTCAGAGGTCCAGCAAGGGGCTGGGACACCTGGGAGGTCCAAGGTTAGGGCCTGGGCTGACACAGGTCATGCCACCTTGATCTAGCAGGGAAGGGTGTCGGGTTGTAAAAGTGAAATTGCCCATTTAGGGAAGTGAGGCAGTGTGGAACCCACTGTTACCAGCAGACCACAGGGCCCCGCAGAGCCTATCACGAGGGTGGTTCTGGCAGCTGTTTCCGCCCTCTTCCTCAGAACTTCAGGCAGGTGTGGCTGCTCCACCCAGTCTGGGGCCCATGGCCCAGGGAGGGTCCACAAGGACCAAAGGGCTCCCTACTTCCCCAAGTCTCCCTGGGAAACTGGTCTCCTAGGGGTACCTCGTAGTCGGAGGCAGGAGATTCACCCAGGGACTGTTGTGAGGTTTCTGGAACTTTTGGTACAGACTTTCCAGGAATCCTCTGGGCTTAGAGACCCAGGCTAGTCTTAGACACTACTCACTCATTCATTCATTGGAGAATGCATTCCTTCAGTCATCCTGTCTCCTTCCCTGACTTCTGGCTGTCCACAGCAGTCACTCCTGTTCATCGTGGCAAATAAGCTCTTACAGGCTCACGTGCAATCTTATTTTCATCTTGGGGTGGGAGAGGAAGGGTGTAAATTGTAAGACTCAGAGCATGAAGTTTAGGTTAGGGAGGGGTTCCTGTGCTCTCACGTGTGAGCAACACGCACACTTTTCTCTTCTCTTCCTCCTCCTTCTCCTCCTTCTCCTCCTCCTCCTCCTCCTCCTCCTCCTCCTCCTCCTCCTCCTCCTCCTTCTTCTTTCTTCTTCTTCTTCTTCTTCTCTCTCTCTCTCTCTCTCTCTCTCTCTTCTCTCTCTCTCTCTCTCTCATGCTGCCTCTCCTTTCTCAACTTTCCCCCTTTGCACATGTTTTCCTATCCCTCTCTCTGCCTCTCTCCTGTTGTCTCTACTCACGGGCCAGCTCTCTGTAGCCTTCCACTCCCTCTTGCTTCCTAAAGCCACCATACATTTTCATCTCCCCCACCTCATCTCAAGTTCCCCACCCTAAGAGCCCCTTCCTCTCTTGCTCTACCCCCGCTGCCCCCCGTCAGCACACAGGCAGGCTCCCTCAACTTCCTCTCCTCAGCCCTATCTCACCTCTCCAGCCATGCTCTCCAGTTAAAATGAGCCAGCATTTGGCCCCAAGACTCCACCCTTCGCTAGTCCCCAAAGCTATGAATCAGAGGGATCAGCTTCTGACCTCCAGTAGCCGTGTCATCTGCTCTTTTGGGTTGCAAGGACTCAGATGGACCCCATGATTATTCCTGCTGCCCCTAGTCACCTGGGCCACATTTCTTCTCCTTAGATGGGACTCAGTGAAAAGTCCTCCAGCTTATATGCCCAAAGTCTTAACTAGAATTCAGGTAGCCAGATCCCAAACCAAAGAAGTTTTATCTCTGCTGACCCCAAACTTACCGTCTCTTAACTCATTCATTCATTCATTCATTTGTCCTTACAACCTCCTTGCTATGAATGGAGCTAGGCACTGGGGGTGCAGGAATGAGACACAGTTCTCGTCAAGTCCTTCAGCTCACAGAAAGGGCTGTTTTCCTTAGTCACTCTTCTTTTTTCAATACCCCTTCCTGTTAGGGAAGAAACATAAGGACCTCCATGTTAGGACAACACCCCCTTCGCCTCCAGGACAGCTTACTGGAAACATCACATCACTTAATGGAAAAAGCACACCTGGCCCCAAAGAATGATAAAAACTCACCTTTATGCCATTGTCACTGGTGGGCAAGAGTTGGTTGAGCAACAGATGGACCTAATCACCACTAATCTCCCTTAGCTACCCCTAGCAACAAGCCAGTTCCAAAAATTTTCTTGGCCTAACCAGTTTCCCGGTGCTTTCCCACTAACATCCCATAACTACCCCCAGTCTGTAAGAGACAGTGGACTCCAGTGCAGTCTGCACTCTGCAGATTCCTTCTCCCGAGTAAAACCTGCACTGGTGTTGAGTCATCTCCACCAACCCTTCCATGCCTTTTTTTCAGTCTAACACTTCCACCGTCCTCAGGTCCTTGAGTTCAGAATTCCTCCATCCTCAACATACATGGAGTCTTCCTTCCTGCTTCCTTCCAGCAGAACAGCAGGTGGTTTCAGGAGTGGGGATTCACCTCTCATGGGGACTTCATGTGCCAGGAATCAATGCTTGCACTAAGCCCTTTAGTGTGCCCAGCACTGAGCCAGCATTATGACAAGTGTGACCATTGTGATTCACCAAAGATGACATATATACTGGATTCAATCTTTCTTGAGAGAAATTTAGAAGTATTTAGGAAAAATCTCTAAAATGACATGTACTTTAGACTTTTATGTGCAAAATAACACAGCATCATTGTTTCTTTGCATTTATTTTTTCCCATTTAAAAATTAAGGTCTTGTTTACCTACAGTAAAATTCACCCTTTTCAATGGACAGTTCTAGGAGGTGGAAAAACCTATAGAGACTTGTATCCACTACCATTATTGAGATAGAGAAGAGTTCCATTCCCCACAAAGCTTCCCCATGCCTGTTCTGGTCAGCCCCTCAGTCCCTGGCAAACACTGACCTGGTGGGTTTTTTCCTATACCTGTATGAAATGAAAATTATAGAGTGTGCAGCATTTTATGTTCGTTGCTTTTGATGAAATCCAATATATATATAATTTTTATGGATCATGTTTTTTGTCATCTCAAAGAAAGATTTGCTTAACCCAAGGTCATACAGATTTTAAACAGCTTTATGAGGATGTAATTCACATAATACAAAATTGACCCATTTAGGATTTCTTCAGGGACTTCTGGAGATATGGGTAACTCACCAGACTTGCTTCCCTCCCACAAAAAGGAAACAAAACAAAGAATAAATAGCTGCTATTCGGAGAAAGTGTTTGGGGGAGAGTGCTGGAGTGCAGTGCAATGAAACAGATGCCATGCCACATGGAGACTCAGAATAGCCTTGTAAAGAAGGGAATGAGGTGCTTTAGATTCGCTGCTTGGTTGCCCCAGTTGGCATTCACCTGGAAGTGGGAAAATCTTCCCATGATGGGAAAATGTAAACAAGATGACCCCAGGAGTCCCCATGGCACCACAGATACCTGAAGCTTTGCTGCTGCAGATCCAGCAACTCTCAGGGGCCCCGAGCCCAGTTTGGGGAGCTGCCAGGCAGTGTGCACTCAGCACTGCTGTGGAGCGGGAGCTCAGGCCTCCAGCCAGACTCAGGTTGCATGGCACCATTTCAAGACCAAACCCACTCTTGGTTCTCTCCCTGTGCCATATGCACTACACCCACCTGGGCCCACTGAAGAAGCTGCAGCCCCAAGTCACCCAAGAATCTGACATATGTCCAGCTTCCATTGCTCTGCCAACTGCTGCTTGCTGCTAGGAGCACCAGAGCAGCTCTGCACCCATGTGACCTACAGAAACTGCAGGATTGCCTGCACCCACCTAAAAACACACCATGTCCAGAGCCACCCACAAGCTCACCCACAGTGCTGACTGCAGCTGAAGAAGCTATACAGAGGCTACATTACTGTGCCATCCAGAACCAGAGCCAATGTGGCCTGGTTATCACTGGCCCAAAGGCAATGGGTCAAGCCACCAAGAGCTGAATATATATATATATATATATATATATATATATTCATAAAACAAAACACAAGCAGAAATCTTGGAGCTGAAGAACTTCTGAACTTATCCTTATCTCAACTGGCAAAAACCCTTGGTCTTTCCTATTATTGCTTATACTCTCTCTTCAACAAAATTAGAGATAAGGGCAAAATAGTTTCTGCTGGGTAGCGAGGGGATGGGGGGAGAGGGAGGGGGCGGGGGCGGGGGGTAAGGGAGAGGGGGAGGGGGGGAGAAATGACCCAAACATTGTATGCACATATGAATAAAATAAAATAAAATAAATTTTAAAGAATGAAGAAAGCACAAGGCACCTGTGGCTCACACCTGTAATTCTAGCTACTCAGGAGGCAGAGATCGGGAGGATCGTGATTCAAAGCCAGCCCCAGCCAAACAGCTTTGCAAAACCCTATGTTGGAAAAAACACATCACAAAAAAGGGCTGACAGAGTGGCTCAAGTGGTAAGACCATCTGCTTGGCAAGTGTGTAACCCTGAGTTCAAATTCTAGTGCCACCAAAAAAAGAAAAGAAAAAGAATGATGAAAGCCTACAAAACTTATTAAACACTGTGAAGCAGGCAAATATTCACATCTTGGTTTTCAGAAGAAAAAGGGGAAAACATAGGAGACTTATTTAATAAAATAATGACTGAAAACATCACAAATCTTTGGAAAGATATGTACATTCAGATCCAGTGAGCTCAAAGGACCCCAAGTAGATTTGATTTAAAAAAATATGCCTCTCCAAGGCATATTATAGTCAAACTGTCAAAAGCCCAAGATAAAGAGAATTCTAAAAACAAAATTCAACAAAAAATATCAGAGTTAAACTATAGGATAAGCCAAATGGGCTTAGACACTTAGAGAACATTTCACCTAACGACTGCAGAATATACACTCTTCTTATCAGCACATGGAACATTCTCCAGGATTAATCGTACAAGACCACAAAAACAAGTCTCAAGAAGTTTTAAAAAATTGAAATCATACCATGTATCTTCTTCTCAACAGTGGAATAAAACTAGACAAAATGTTGATAACAGGAACTTTTTTTTTTCCTTTGGGGGGACTGGGGTTTGAACTCAGGGCTTCGTGCTTACAAAGCAGGTGCTCTTCCACTTGAGCCACACCTACAGCCCATTTTTCTCTGGTTATTTTGGAGATCGGAGAGGGAGGTCTCATGAACTATTTGTCTGGACTGGCCTTGAACCACAATCCTTCCAATCTCAACCTCCCAAGTAGCTAAGATTACAGGCATGAGCCACCAGCACCCAGTGAGGAATTTAAAAACTGCAAAAATACTTGGAAATTAAACATGTTCTTGAACAACTAATAGGTTAACAAGGAAATTTAAAGGAAAAATATAAAACTTCTTGAAACAAATAAAAGTGGAAACATCACCTACAAAAACCTATGGGATACAACAAAAGCAGTTCTAAGAGGAAAGGTTATGGCCATAAGCACTTCATCAAGAAGTAGAAAGATTTCAAATAAATAACCTAATAATGCAACTCAAGGACCTAGAAAAGTAGAAACAAAATAAACTCAAAATTAGTATAAGAAGAGAAATAGCAGTGATTGAAGCAGAAATAAATGTCATAAAGAGCTTAAAAATAATACAGATGATCAATAAAACCAAGAATTTTTTTTTAAAAAAAATCAACTGAATTAAAAGAAAAAAAACCTTTTGCTAGACTAATCAAGTAAAAGAGAGCAAAACCAAATAAGTAAATTCAGAAGTGAAAAAGGAGACATTACAACCAACACCACAGAGTTACCAAGAATCATTAGGGACAATTACTCGCCAATAAATTTGAAAACCTGGAAAAATGGATAAATCTCTGGACACATAAACTATCAAAATTGGACCATGAAGAAATAGAAATTCTGAACAGACCAATAACAAGTTACAAGATTGAATCAGTAATATAAAGTCTCCCGATAAA